TTTATTTAAAAAAAAAAAGGAAAAAGGAATGGACAGCTTCAGCCTTGTTTCAGACCCCTACCCCTTCGCCAATTCTCGTGATCGGTTTTGTGACGTTCGTGGCATTGTATGTTGTTCATATTACGAGGAATAGTGTGAGCATTGAAAAGAATGTTGTTTTATATTTGTTGTGGAAATTGAATTGTGTTTGTTAGCTGTAATGTTATTAATAAGTTTGAACAACAATGTTATAAACCAGCGGATAAAGACGCCGAAGTGTCGCTGGGAAGCTGTCGAAGGAAATCGGCGGTGTATGGGTCGATGCAGCTCCATTTTATTAAACGAAACTTATTAAATTCCTTTGAAAAAGGCGACGAGATTTTTTGGGTAATATATATAAAAAAAAAATTATATATATATTATATATATAAAAAAATATATGTAGTTTAAGAATTGAACAATGCGGAGAAAACTGAAAATAACTAAATAATTCAGCTCGGGCGAGCATCAACATCAAACCGAAACGAAATAAACACGAGCCAATATCCTTGAACCAGTTAAACGCGCCGAGAGCATTGTCTTTCATCATAAAATTCATCCATCATAGAAAAGTTACTGTTAAGCGTGGAAAATATTTATGCGAGTGCAATACGGAGACAAATTTCAATTGAAATAATGCGAACGAACAAGAAAACAAAGGGCTCGTCGAGAGAAATCCGGCGGCCGTTGCTCGCAGCAGGGATTGGCATTGTGGAAACAAACTTTTATTCGAATAAAACTTTCGTTTTATTTGTTATCCGCCCTGTCACCTTATCTCGGATGATGTTACTCGAGTAACGATACACTTCGAAAATAAATCATTTGTTATTTGACGAAACGTTTGAATACCGTGTTGCTCTGAATGCAACCGGAACACTTTTATTGTTTACTTTGTCGTACGAAAATCGAACTTTTATTTTTTATTTTCCATTTGAAATAACGATCATCACTAGAAGCTAATATATGAAAGTAATTTCCAAAATAAAAGCAATTGGAACTCATATAATTTCATCCTTATCTCGAAACGAACCTATTTCTCTTACATCAAGCATCCCCTATTTTTCTGTATCATTCTGATTCCAAATAAACCACTGCCCAACCCTATCCCACGCGCATCAGTGCTCAAATCTAACATAGAAACTACAAAAACCAATTTCCCCAGCTTCAAACAGAGGAAAATGATTTTTCCAGGCTGGAAAACGCGTCGGTCCCGCGGGGTCTAAAATATTTTCCGCGCGCGGCGCTAGGAGGTTCGATGGCGGGCGGCGTTCAACGGGCTGATATTTATAGATTCGAGAGTTTCGCGCAAACCTACAACGTTTTAGGCGTCAAAATCCAGTTCCTGTGTACCCGACAAGCATCGTGCCGATGATCCATGGGCCTCGATCCGCCGTGGTGTTCGACTCGCGTGGTCCGTCGCCTTCGTAGGCCTACGAATCGATCGGGTGTTGTGGATCAAGAGACGTGCCGAGCCACTGGTTCCGCGTAGCTGACGTTTGAACTTCGTTTGGCGGCGACTTCTAGTCGCGGGAGTCAACCGTCCGGGCGATAAATCACGTCGGATCGACAGGGGCCAGAAAGATCCGCGGGCAAGGGCCGTAAACGGCGGAAAAACGCCTCGTGCCTCGCGGCGGACCAACATGACCGCCCCATCGTCCGCGCATTAGTCACTCGTCCGATTCGTCGAAAGCACCGTGGGCAACGGCGGGGCAAGGAGAGGACCGCGAAGAGACCGAGTCGAACGGTTACAAGTGGAATCCGTGCGGATTTTTGATATAGCCCGCCTTTTTTTAGATTTTCATCAAGGATAGGAGGGACAGGGACCACTCTGTTTCGATCTACGCGGAAAGGCTGCTTGCCAACGCCGCCCGCCGCCGTCAATGCTGATAGTTGTCTATCGCCCGCGACCATTGCCAATATGTTTACCTACTGCGTGTTGCACCTGTAACTGAATATTTTCGTTTTACTTTGATATTTTTCTCCGTTCTCGTACACCTTCGTGAGGAACGCGGGGACAGCGTGACATGTGACATCGGTCATTTTGTTGGAGGTTAGGGGGGTGGGGTCCTGACGAGGATGCGGCCAGGTGTCCGTGAGAAGATGCTGCTGGCCGAGGGGCAGACATTCTTTGCGCGTTACGCGGCCTGGCCCGCACCGATTCGAACGTTCCGCACCGGAAACTCGGGGAGGTAGCGCGCCACGGTGGTTAGACGTTCCTCGAATGGACGAGGCACGAAAGGACTGACCTAGTTTAGGCGATCATGGACGGATGGCTGCTCGAGCGGAGTATGCTGATGGTTTCTCGCTGACTCGGGCCGTTCGCGCGTGAATATCCTGCAAGATGATGTTCACCGGCGGCTCGCACGCCAAGAGGTGGAATATCGGCGGCAGCGCGACCTCGAACCGGAAGTCCTCCGCGGACCGCAGGAGCCCGCAGGGTCGCGTCGCCGCGGAACGATACACTTACAGGTGAGCCGCCTGGTACGTAGACGCGACGGAACGGAGGATTGGTTAGGGTGTTTGTGGACTGCTGGCAACGGACTGTTGTGTTGCTGCGAATAGGGGTTGGAAAGGGTTTGATATTGCTTCTGGTTCTTGACACAGTTATGGCGGAATGGAGTCGCAACTGTTGTTAGGTATTCGGTTCTGAGCTGTGTTGGTTCTGTATCTGTTCTGTAGCTACTTGTCGGTGCTGAAGGATGCAGAACTAACGTGCAGAATCTATAGGAAGACTGTAAGGAGTTGAACATTGAAGGTCGATATTGACTCTACAGTTGAAGACACAATACTGGAGCTACCAGTCGAAATGACCCATCTGGCAATTTTGATTTCGTAATTATTGAAACTGTGAAGATGATTTTGTGAGAGATTATGAAGCAGATTTGTGTATTTTTATGGATAGAATAGTACGAGTAATTGTAATTATAATTGTTCAAGGAATTCGAATCGACTGATACGTATTTTCCCGTATAAATTAGAAGAATGTATTTACTGAGATTTCGATTGATTTATATTTCCGGGTAGACATAGTTAATTATTTTATATTAATTATTAAGCTTAATTTAATCAGCATCACTGTCAACTCGTCGCGGATAAGTTAAAGTGAAAGATTAATTTTCTATTATTAATATTTAAGGTTTAAAAGAAATGTATCCTTAGAATAAGTGATAAATATTCCTTTACATTTTCGTAAATAATTGAAAATGAAATAAATCTAATTGTTGTTACTGAGAGAATTATCAGAATATTTAAGACTCACTTTGATACACCTAATTCTAGTGTTATATGACTAAGCTTAAAAATAATTGCATGAAACTAAACTTAAATATATACATTTATATTACTATTCTTATTATTATCATTATTATTATTATTATTATTATTATTATTATTATATATAATATATTTTTTATTTATTTGATTATTTATTTAATTAGTAATAATAATAATAACAATAAAATGAAATAAATAAACTTAGATATAAAAACCGAAAAATAAATTTCAGGACACGAGTCCCGATCCTGAATCCTGCAGATCTGCCGCCGTCGACGTCCACCGGGAAAGCTTACGTGTACAAAACTAGAGTCCCCCGAAGGGACGTCACAGCGTCAACGACGTCGGCGGCGCCGTCGACGACTTCGTCCCACGAGAACCTAATCGGCGCCGGAATCACCAGAAGAAGAGGAGCAGTGAAGCAAAACAAAGTGCACATTGTTCGGGGCCACAAACTGGTCGCCAAGTTCTTCAGGCAACCGACCTTTTGCGCGTTCTGCAAGGACTTTCTCTGGTAATTGACCGCCATCTTGAATTACATAAGAG